GCCTTCTTCGTCTTCTTTGCCCCAAATGCTATGGGGCACCCAGATAACTCGATAGCAGCCAACCCTATGCAAACCCCTATTTCTATTGTGCCTGAATTCTATTTACTTCCTTTTTATGCCATTCTCCGTGCTATCCCTCAAAAGTTGTTAGGGGTTGTAGCAATGCTAGGGGCTATCCTCATACTCTTAGCCTTACCATTCCTTGAGACTTCCCGTATACGTTCTTGCGCCTTTCGACCATTTATGCGTCTTGCCTTCTGGTCTTTTGTTACTAATTTCTTTCTCCTTATGTGGATAGGATCTCAGCATCCAGAAGTGCCTTATATTTTCCTTGGCCAAATCTGTACCTTCTTCTACTTTGCCTACTTTTTACTCTTTGTTCCTCTACTTGGAGTGGTGGAAAATACCCTCTCGGATTTAGCCACTCACTCTACTCGCTCATCCTTTCTTTCTTCTTCTTCTTCGTCTTCTTCTACTTCTTCTACACCGTCTCTTCAAAAAATTCCCCCATCCGTAGGGTCCCGGTCTTATACAACACTATCTGAGTATTTACCTGATAAGATAGATAATACTCAAACTGTCAATGAGCTATCTCGAGCTAACGCTTGGCTAACAGAAAATTTGCCGTTCCTTTGGAAGACGTTCCCCAAAATCTGGGTCAATGGCTTTCGGATTTATTGATGCGGAGGGTTATTTCGGTGTTAAGTTTATATACAATAATCTAAAGATACCCCAGGTGCAGTTAGAATTCTCAGTAACCCTTAACATAGACCACTTGCAGATTTTAGAGTGGTTGAAAACAACTATTTTGGCGCTGGCTATGTCGATTCTGTCCTTAAGACTCTCTTCCCTTGAGGGTCTGCAGAAGCGGAGAGTTGCTTTAATATTTTGATCTCACCACGCAAAGACAAGGAAGGGTTACCTACAGGGAAACATAGAGTGCTTCCTACATTTTCTATTAGGCTTAATAGTAAGGATGATATCTTGATAAAAAATATCCTAAAGTACTTCCAAGTAGTGGAAAAATACCAGGAGGAAGGGAAATTCGTTGTTTACTGCGTAGGAAGTGTTGACCACTCAAATAAGGTGATTATTCCTTTCTATCTTAGTTTTTTCTTCCTTCCACCATAAACCAATAAGTCGAGGTATCTCCTTCAGAAGACCGTTCCGGCTCCTGAGCCGTACATTCCGGTTGCTTCCCGCATGGCCTTTCATGTCCCGTATGGTACATGAGGATAGGTATAGCCTCCGTAGTACCGTGAAGGGATTTTTTAGGATGCTAATGGTGAGCTCTCCTTTTGCTTCTTCTTTTGGTTCAGCTCCCATCTATTAAGGTACTCCTGAGCATAAGGGCTATCTGGCTAGTTCCGGATGGCTTACGGTGTTTAAGTAATGGTTGACTTGTTGGCCTAATTCATCTTTCCATCTTTTTAATGCCTTCTGTAACGCTCACATTTCCCCAACGAACCATACCATGCATTATCCACGAGGTACTAAGCACCTGAAACTCAGCATGGGTTCGCTAGGCCTTCCTCGGCTTCTGGAAGCAAATCTTAACAACGGTCGGCAAGTCGTTCTCCATCTCGTTTATGAGGGTTAGCATACCTTTTCCTTGTTAAGAACGGGTACTAATCCTGATGCTTGTCCTTTCTCCCCGCTTGCCTTTAGCATCGCTTCCATGCTCGCAATCAACGCCCTCAGGAGAGTTTTCGCCATTGCCAACATCTGAAAGAAATAGTGAATACCACTACCCCCTCCTTTAGGCTTTATGCCTTTTATCTCGAAGAAGCTATGAAAGGCAAACGGTTTCCCTTTACTTTGTCTTCATCTACCCCTGAAAGTACCTCGCCTACATAGCGAGGTTAGGACCTGCCTCGGGGTATACCTCTAGGGCTAGCCACTCTGACCGGAAACCTGGCCTAGAGGGAACACCGGAAAAGGACGGGATGGACGCCTCTCTTCCTGTGTAAGTGTTGTGCTCCTCTGTCTCCCGCCGCTTGGGCCCTTTAGCTCCTGGGT